CTCCCTCTATTCAGTCTCTTTTTTTTTTTTTTGGAAATCTTGGGGGGAGCTTCCCTTACCCTGTTCTGGTTTTGTGGCTGATACCTACGAGAGGAAACTGGAGGGAAGAAGGATTAACAGAGCTTGAATGTCATCAGTGATTTACTTCTCCCCAAAACTGTACGCAACATCCAGAAATATCAAACTACACTGCAGCCACTGCACTTGTTGCTCTCTCTCAGCATCTCCCAGTGGCCAGCGAGGCTACAGCACTCGGTGTAACAACACTTTACCTTGTATCTCATGACTAATAGCAAGATGCTAAATGATTAAATGGCAGAACTTTTTGTAAATGTTATCAAATGAGGAGCTCCCTTCTTGACAGTTTAGTCAGGAAAAATGAGACTCAAAACTGAAAACCAGTGATCAGACTGTGTCCTTGTTGTTTTAATATCAGGAAATGGGATTCTCTTTTTAAAGAATCCTCCAAAGTACCAACTTGCCAGTCCACTCCCTGTCTGGCACTGATGTTTCCAATGCAGTAGCTGCAAATCAAAGAGCAGCACAATAGTTACCATATTCCAGAATTTGTCGAATGCGACCAGAAACCCCGTGCAGACACCACGCAGCCCTTTGAAAGTGCGAATATGGACGTTGATTTTAACGCCATCTCGGACACACCGATGAAGCTCCCCAAGCGGGCTGCCTTCATGAACTAGAACAGATATCAAAAACCATTGGTCAGCATACCGCATTTCCTACAGAAAAAAAAATAGAGGGCCTGGTTTGTTTCAGATATGTAGCAAACCCTACCCCCGTGCTGTTTTATAATACAATAAAACAGGCATTCCACCGTGTTACCACGTATTACACCCACCCATCTGTCATTCCCAATACAGAGAACCTCCATTTATAGTTGGATAACACAAATTATGATATAGGAAGGCCCCTTCTTAACATAGCTGAGAACTAAATGAGCCTTATCTATTAAGGACAGGAACTGTTTTGCTACATCTCAAAAACATCCACTTAAATTCTAATGCTAAAATATAACAGAAGAAGGAACAGACTCCTAAAAGGGCCAGCAAAGCCATAACTGCCTACTGCAGTCAGGGCACACATTCTCTGAAATAAATGTCACTGTTAAGCTAAAAAAAAATAGCCAAATTGTGCCAGCAAATTTTGGCACCTGATCCATTTAGGGATGTGTTAATTCCCTTTATGAAGAGTCTAAAACAACAGATCACTACACTTTCTTTGATCCAATATCCTTGGTCAATCTAATATAACGAGAAATTCTTGTTTCAGCAGCTGACCACTGCAGTTCTCCTTGCCAGAGTGCCTTTCCCACGGGATGAGCTGCCTGGATTAGCTGCACAGTATTTACCCCCGGGTTCTCCATCCCGTGACAAAAGGCTGATCACCCAGCATAGAGGAGATTCGCTCAACTGCAGTTTTAACTCTTTGACCCACAGTGGACAGCCCCTACAAAGTCAGGGGAAAATCATACCTTTCCTGCCACAACGCAGGCCTAGGCTGCAAGCAGCAAGTTAAAAAGTGAATCACTTGTTGCACAGCTCCCTGACAACATAGTGGTAAATACACCTAGGCAATGCCTCAACTACAATTTCACCCTCTGTTACCATTAGTGAAGCCATTTCAATGACAGATGCCTGAGGAAGGGTCCTGCAATACCCAAAAGCTTGCCTACATCTATACCAACCATACAACCGGTCCAATACAAAGTGATCATCACCCACAACACAGAATTTTTACATCTCGCATATTTCTTGGACCATGCCGGCGACATAAGCTCAACATTACCATGAGTTAGATGTGCAATTCCAACCTGTTCACACAAACTACACCTTTAAACCCTCACAGAACTGGGACTATATTTAAAAAATACAATAAAATGTACCTGATGGTGTAGCTTCTTATAAAAAAACCTGAATATCTTCCTCATTTCTACCACCCCTCTCACTTACCAGAACACAAGGCATGTAAGCACTGGCAGGAAACATTGTTTTTGCATCACTTCTGCATCTATGGAAGACACATGCTGTTCCCATATCTTTAATTCCTGTCCTCAGTCTCCAACTTCATTTGATCGCAAGGACAAAAAACACATTATTCACAACATACTTCCATAATCTGACATTCGTTTCACAGGAAACAAGCAGCAAGTCAGGTAATTCATCTCCGCAGAACATACCTGCCTTGCAAACATCAAAAAGCATTAAACCCAGGCTCTGCATGCAACTATTTTTGCCCGTGGCTTTATCCACGGAGGTACCACTGTTGATCATCACTTTTTTCCATCAATGCAGAAGAAAGCTTCACCTAGTTAGCTACATCCTCAAAATCCAGGCCCTATTTGTACAAAAGATAAACATACATTTAATAGCTTTCTAGTAATCCCTTAGAACGCAGGTATGGTGAGCTAGAGGGCAGCTACTCCAACCAAGAAAGATAAAATGAAGTCCCAAATTCTAGTGAAGTGTCTTTCCTCGGCGGTGGCTTTAGCACAAAGCACGTTCAAAAACAAGAGCAAGGCAACGAAGAACACTTTGCAACCACCGCCAGGTGCCTTTCCTGCTTTCAGCAGGCTGGGAGACAGAAGTCACTTGCCCTTGCTACGAGAAAGGCAACTTCACAGCAGCTTCTCCTCTGCTTCCAGTCTGACCGTAGGTTACTTATGGAACAGGCAGGAAGCCTGGCCTCCCAGGTAACCCTTTACATTACAGGGTGGGAATGGTGGGGTGACTTCACACCTGGCCACCGCTATCTCAGAACACCACAGCGTGAACGCGCAGCACAGGAATATTTATCACAAGCCACACATCTACTAAAGCGCATCTCATCTGAATATCCACTTATTAACACAGACAGACCAGTCAGATAAATGCAGAGAGCATCCAGGACCCAGTGACTAGGACTTCACTCTGAACTCGTATCAAGGCCCCATCAAACTGCAGGGTCCCCGTATACAGTACATATTATAAATAAATTGTACATGGTATCCAAGTTGTAACCATATTGGTCTAGAGGAAAAGGCAATCAGGACTCATAGTAGAGATGATATCTTTTATTAATTAAAGAATTAAAGCAATTTTTTGCAAAAATCTTGTTGGTCTAATAAAGAGATACCATCTCTATCACAAGTCCCGATTGCCTTATATATGTACATAATACAGTACATAGAAAGCACAGAATTGTGGCTATAAAATATTCTTAAAATACACCATTTCACAGCTTCTCATACGTTAGGTTAAAAGGTGAGTTGTGTCACAATCTTCTTCAAAACCCCACATTAAGGAGTGATTGTACAAACATTTACAGCATGTTTCCTTTCCAAGCCATTTGACTTCTTCACTGGAGGCATGAGCACTGCTCTGTTAGAGGAAGGTTCCTTGCACAGACTTTAAGTCTGGCCCATAATTTTGCAGCCCAGGTATCTAAAATTAAGTCCCTCGACACACATGTAGGCCCAATCCTGCTAGGAACCCCACACAAACAGGACTCAAGTGTTTGTGCTGAGCCTCAGTTATTGCAGTGGGATTTACGGCACTGGGACTCGATGGGTTTCCAAGCGCGCGTCAACTCTAGTAACCTCGGCACTTATGTCTAAGCGCCTAGATACAAACACGTGCTTTGGGTTGTTGCCGTGTTGGTCTAAGGACATAGGCAGGCAAGGTTCATTGGGTAGATGTGATCTCTTTTATCAGACCACCTGAGTAGCTGGAAATTTGGGTAGATGTGATCTCTTTTATTAAACCAACTCTGCCTACCCAAAGAACCTCGCCTGCCTAAATATGAACACCAAAGTCCAGCCTTTAGGCAGTCAGAATTCGCGCTTTACTGACTGCATTTAAGACAGGGGGAGCATGACACCATTTCAGTAGTAAAAGTGCTACCCAACCTCCAAAAAAGATGTCGTATTTATCAGCCAAGTGCCCCTCCGCTACATGTCGTTTGACAGGAATGGCATTTTGCTCTTGCTTCAAGTTTCCAGCGAGGGCATCTTACCGCTGACAGGATGACAAGGTCCTTGTGCCCTGCCTGCCTACGTACATTCGTTTGTAAAAGGCAAACCGACCATCGCCACAGTGTGCGAAGACAGCGGTCCTGCAGCTCTGCTCCATCACCCACCGCAAAAACCCAGCGCTGTCCTGCCCCCAGGACGTAGCTGATAACCGAGGCGTTTACCAGCATGTCACAGGCATGCGCAGCGGTCAGAATTAAACAAGCGGCGGCCTAGTCCGATTCTGGGTTCAAAAGCTGTGTTTTTGAACGAACAGAACAGGCTCTTTTCCAGCTCTGCCTGGATGAACATCACGGGGGGAGGATTATGGGGGAGGGAGAGCTGAACCCCTCCCCCCTTCCTACTCCCAAACTTACCCCTCCCCCCAAGTGTTCTCCCCCAAAACTGCCCCCTTACGCGGCATCCTGGTGATGACGTTCTTGGGCGCGCGCCGCCTCCGGGCCCCCCGCGCCGCCTCGTCCCCGTCGCGCCGGGG